AAAAAGGACTCTTGATTCAATCAGATTTTTGCGTAAATCAAAAGGAAATCCGCTCGAATTAAGAGGCTTGGTTCTTGATTTAAGCAAAAATCCGATTGAATCAAGAGTATTTTTTCTTGTCGGTGTTTGTAAGAGTCTGGACTCGAGATCCAATGTTTTTTTCTTCTTTTTTTTTCCAGTGTGTACGTTTCATTTTCTTTGCGCACTGGCTGCCTTTCAACCAAATCTTAAGGGGATGAAAATTGTCGAGATAAGCTGAAATTGATTTGGGAGATAGGGTCTCATAAAAATGACCGGAAATTGATCTAAATCGGGCATATGTTCGATCGTTCACTTAGTTAAACATTTCCGTGTCTATGCTTATTTTGGGTTCCGTAGAGTTACTATTTTTCGATGAGATCAACCTAAAGGACTTGGTTGATCGGTCAAATGTTTGGTTAAATCGACCGAAACCGTAGATGACTCTATGAGATATATGTGGATAAAGAGAGTGTCCTATACTGAACTGATTCCCATCGAAAACAATACAATTTCAAGAAGCCCACAGAGAAAACCTAAGGAAATTAGGGAAACACTAATCACGAACACTTACTTTCCCAAGTTATTTACGTAGCGTTACCGACACGAACACCCCAGCAATTGGCGGCATTACTCTCCTCAAATTATCCCGATCCCGTACGTAGTGACTCGATTATTTTTCCAATTCAAACGAGGCGGTTTATTGAATTCAAGGGAATTAATCACGCTTGGATTCGCCTCGAGGCACTATTGGCTCTCCTGGCAAAAGCTCAAAAAGTGAGCCAGCGAACAGGGTACCAAGGGCCCAAGATTTAATGAAGTGGATTCTCCCATTAGTTTTACTGTCGCCCTTTGAGGGAGAGGGAAAGAGGGGGGGTGGGATGAGAGAGAGATAAAGCAGGGAAACCCAGCAACAACTCGACAATGGAAGTATTCGGTAAACGAAGGAGTAAACCAAATGTTTGGAAAATTCGAGGTTTATATGATTTTGAAAATTTGCTTCAAATGTGGATACTCAAGCAGGGTGACAAGTTCTAGGAAAGTCAGGGAGTTTTTTTTCCTAACCTTGACATTTCAAAAAATTCCGCCGAGAAACTTTGAAATTTTTACCTCTAGCTCCAGAATTGCAAACCGTCCCCCCTCCCCCCAGAAGAATTCACTCAAACCTTTCTCATACAAAATCATGCAAAAATATTGGGACAAAAGGGGAATTTTGAAATCCAGGAAAATGTTTCTCTATCATGACTACACAAATTTAATAAGCCAAGTCGTTTTAAGTCGTCAAATGCTTATTTTTCCTGCTTCAGCTGGTGACATTTATTAGAAAACGTTAACAATTTTTGAGTGTTTTTTTCCATAATTTAAATCTTTAAGAAAGCAAATTTTGTTCAAAGTTGGCACAGTTGAAAGAAACTAAGTCAAGACGGAAATGTTTGAAAGTCAGGGCAAAGTCAGAAATTTTAAACATTTTGGAGTCCAAAATATGTAAACAAAGTCAGAGCATCGGACGATAAAGAGTTTATAGGAACCCTGCGAACAAATTCAGGAGAATTTGGCTTACGCAGTCGGGGAACTTCGAAATTTCACTGAACTCGCAACCCTGAAAAAGTGAGCGAGCAAATGGGGCCCAAGATTTAATGAAGTAGATGCCTCCGCCCGCTTTATCGCCGTTCATTTTGTCGCTCCTTTAACCCAAGGGCGTAGCTCGATTTTAACGTGAGCTCCAGAGAGCATCAAATCAAACGGGACAAAGGGCTCACCTTAAAATGAAGATACATCCTTATGCCGGAGAGGCGACGATTTAAAGGGAGTAAAAGAAGGGGGAGCAGCAACAACAAGAGCAGTAAGGTTTCATTAACAACCGACATGATGTCGTTTTAATTCGAAAGAACTTTCAGCAATGCGAGCCTCATACCAGCGGCGTGGCGTGCTTTGCGATGTATCGATCGTCATGCCATTTAAACCCGTGGTAAAGGATCGATAATCAGGGTGTTCGCAGCGAGCACCTTAATAATCGATTCTTTACCGTATGTTTAAATGGCAGAACAATCGATATATCGCAAGGCGCCACTGCCTCATACGGGCCGTAACTCAGCGCTACGTGACTATGAATTCACGAGTGATCCTAGGCGGGTTCTATGCTCTCCTGAAATTGCTTTTTTTTCCAGGGCTGTTTTGTCCGTTCAGATTTCCCGTGCGTTCCGGAGCTTTGCTCATTGTTTGCTTTTATTTTCGGGCCGCCGCGCCGGCCTGTCCCGATGTCTGCCCGAAATTTATCGCGTGCGAACGCCAAACGCCTGCACGGAGCCGTATTTTCTGAAAAGGTCTCTCGACTTTTGTTCCGGTCCCGCCGACGTAATACCCGGAGTAGGTTTTTGTAGTCGTTAAGTAATGGCGTAATCCAATCTTAACGTTGCGAAATTTGCGCAAGTCGGTATGACGGGAATTCCGGCCGTCTACAATTCGTCGTTCCCCCAACGAAAATACCATTTGAACCTAAGCACAGTTCAGATCACACTCATGATTTTGACTCGTAGAGCTGGAATCTAATCATACCTTTTTTGTCTCGTAAAACGCAGACTTCAGTGGGTATATTTTTAATTAATTTAGGTTTGTTCGCGTCCATGTGGGGGAGAATGAACCTTTCACGAGAAATGGAAAGTCCCGAAGAAATAGCTTCTTCGAAAGGAAAAAGGAAAAGCCGAAAGAGTGCGTGTCTATGAATAAAATTTCGCCAGCACCTTTTATGTATAACAACGCGTGGTGCGCTATACGCTATGCACTGTGAGGGCCATGAAAGTCAAAACGCCTTCTAATTTGGGATATGCAACCCGCACATCCATCGAGTACGAATAGTTGTATGCACGCGCCTTCCATTTTTTGCGCTTATAAAACGGATTATGTAGTAATTGACATCGAAGACCTTATAGTTTGTGCTGCACACAAACCATGTTAACCACAAAATGTCGGTTATTTTTTCTTATTGTGTAGTCGGCATCTCTGCAGCTGGCGATCTTTCATTTGAAAAAAGAAAGCAAGAAAGACGCAAAGGAAAGGTATGAAATAAACCCGACCGTTTTCGAGGACGTATGTGCTGACGGCAAATCCTTCGAGTTTCACAATTTATCGATATGAACAACAAAAACAGTATCGAGACTTCGCAGTGTTGTTACAAGACGAGACCAATTTTATTTACAACACCCCGAAGAGCTTCTCGCATTCAATTCTCAGCGGATAAGACGCTTCGGAGTTGCTGCAAATATTGATTAAAGCAAGAAACGCTCGTTCGCGAATGAAGATGTGTTCCGTGCCGTTGGAATTTCGCAGCGTTGGTATGGACGGTGACCAATTTTATTTACAACACCCCTAGTAGCCTCTCGCATTCAATTTATAGTGGAAAGTGCGCTTTGGAGCTATGCTAGTGTAGCATGGCGACTAGAAGTATTTAACTGTATCGACGCTCGATCTTACCCTGATTTTTGAAGGCAAATCATTTCCGAACTTCGAAAAGGTTTCTCTCGCTCTTCTCTAGATTTCTTGAGGAGAAGCTCCCCCCCTCCTTCCCTAGAGATTTAAAGCAACTTATATAACGTGGACCACCAATCGTATGAAGAAAAATGGTCCTGGGTTCGACTCCCTTCTCTTGCCCGCTTTTCCTCACGTAACTTAATCAGATACTGGTGAAGGTACTAGTTTACCTTCTGTACTCCATCGAACCCAGTTTCCTCTCTCAATTTCATTTGTAATGACGGTTAATAAAAAGGGTCAAAGTTTTGATCAAGTCGGTTTCTATATACATCGACCATTTTTCAACCACGAGCGACTCTACTTTGCATTATTATGGTTTAAATCAAAACATGGTATTAAAATTCAAACAGCGCGGGGAAAAAATCAAGTAATGTGATTCACGACGGAGATTGGCCAGATTTATAAATTCGTTTTTCCCGTAGGATGGATCTTTCAAATTATACCAGGGGATGCGCCCCCTGGCCTTTTTGCGGCACAACCCCTCGCCTCTGTAATCGTAAAATCCCTAAAACTGCCCTATAAAAATTTAAATTGGTTAATGTATGCAATTAAAATTTTTGAAAATCATCAGTTTTTCTCAACTAACAATTTTAATAAAATAAAAAAAAAAAAACAGTTGCAGTTGCAGTGTACTGATCTTTAGCAAAATTTATAATATTCAAAATTATAATTGAATTTACCAATTTAAATTTTATCGAGGAAGTTTTCAAAATTATACCAAAATTTACAATTAGGCACAGAGGCGCAAAGCGTCTGAGGGAGCGAAGCGGCCAGGGGACGCACCCCCCCCCCCCCNCCCAATTTTATTTAAAAGTAGAACAACTTAATTTGGGGAAAAGCCTGCAAAAAAAGAACAAAGGATAAACAAAACCCAGTCTCGGTCTCACAATAACAGCGTAGCGACGGCTCGTCTCTATTTTTAATTTATTTTCCGGTTGAAAATGAAATTGTAACTATTTTGAAACGTTCCGGGTTTTGTTCATCCTGTGTCTTTTTTTTGCAGCCTTTTCCCCAAATTAAGTTGTTCTTTTACTATGTGTATTTTGGCTGTTTAAGTTGTTTTTCATTTATTTAAAAGATTCATCCTAAACATTAACCGTTCACTCGCGGAAAAACACCCATCCGGGAAATTTCGCAACTTTTCCGATATGAGGACAGTGACCAATTTGATTTACCGCCGCCCGGCGGCAAAAGGGGCGGCTCCCGGGTCCGCGGGGCGCCCGGGGGGCCCGACGGGGTTAAAAATATCGGTTTCGAAGGTCTCCGGCGGGGAGCCCGCTCCGAGTCACCCCTGACATTTAGACCGAACGCGAACGGGGTGTTGGCTGGCGAAGGGGTGGCGAAACGGGGGAAGCTCCCCCCCTCCCCTCCCCCACCCTCCCTCCCCCCTCGGCGACGCATCCGCAAGCCTTGCTCCATTTGTGTCCTGCGAGACGGGCTCAGTTCTCTCCGGCCCCGAAACGATCGCGGTACCGTCCCCCGCTCCGATCTAGACTGTGAGCTTTCGAGTCGAGTCGCGACCATGAGGCCCTCGGTGCGGGCGTTTTCCGCTAAGTGTTGAGGATAAGTCGGATCCCAGCCTCGCGCCCTGGATTAGTTCACACCCGCCGCAGATTGCCACGCTTTCCCGCTCGTTTCTCCCCTGTGATAATGTAAGTTCCACCCCCGCCTCCGAATTTACGCTTGGGTTTTGGAAATGTGTCATGTTTACATCTGGTCAGGTTCTCTCGAATGAGTGCAGTTGGAGGTAAATTTTCATCGAATGTAAACGAACGTTGAAATCTCGGAAAAATGTGTCATGTTTAAATCGTGTTTTGGTCTGCTTAAGTTTCTTGTCAAACGAACGCAGTTTTAGGTGAATCTGCACCTAAAGTTTGAACTTGCAGATCTCGAGCACATCTTGTACGATGAACATGTTGATTTTGTGCGATTTCATTAGCTCTCCCGAACGGATGCCAAAGGTTTGGAAAATGTGTCATGTTTACATCTGGTCAGGTTTTCTCGAATGAATGCAGTTTGAGTTGATTTCACCAGGCATTGAGATCTTCAACACATTTTGTCAAAATGTGACTTTCATTCGCTCCTCTGAGAGTTTTTGCTCGCGAAAAGTTTCTCAAGGTTATAAAATGTGTCGTGTTTACATCTCCTAAGGCTTTAATCAAACCGCTTAAGGTTTTATCAAATGAATGCAGTTTGAGGTAAATCTGTACCGGGGGTAAACAAACATTGAGATCTTTACCACATTTTGTACGATGTAAGTTTCATTCGCTCCTCCAAGAGTTTGTGCGTGTGAAAGATTTTACAAGAATATGAAATGTGTCGTGTTTACATCTGCTTGGATTTTAATCAAACTAACGCAGTCTTAGGTGAATCTGCACCGACAATACACAATAATTGAGATCATCAACGTATATTGTTTTAATGAAGGTGTCATTGAAGGAAATGTGTCATGTTTACATCTGGTCAGGTTTTCTCGAATTAATGCAGTTTAAGCTAAATCCACACCGGAGGTAAACGAACACTGAAATCTCGGACACACTTTTTATGATAATGTAAGGGTTGTTCGCTCCCCCGAAAGTTTATGCGTACAAGGTTATAAAATATGTCATGTTTACATCTCCGAATTTACGCTTGGTCTTTGGAAATGTGTCATGTTTACATCGCTGGGCAGGTTTTCTCGAATTAATGCAGTTTAAGCTAAATCCACACCGGAGGTAAACGAACACTGAAATCTCGGACACACTTTTTATGATAATGTAAGTGTTATTTGCTCCCCCGAAAGTTTTATGCGTACAAGGTTATAAAATGTGTCATGTTTACATCTGCCTAGTTTTTTTTTATATATCAAACCAACGGTTTTTATGCTTGGTGTTCGGAAATGTGTCATGTTCACGTCTGGTCAGGTTTTCTCGAATGAGTGAAGTTAGAGGGAAATTTTCATCGAATGTAAACGAACGTTGAGATCTTGGACACACTTTTTATGATAATGTAAGTGTTATTCGCTCCCCCGAAAGTTTTATGCGTACAAGGTTATGAAATGTGTCATTCATGTTTACACCTGCTTGGGGGGTTTTTTTTTTTTCAAACCAACGGTTTTTGAGGTGAATCTGCACTGAAAGTTAACGAACATTGATATGTCGAGCACATTTTGTATCATGCAAGTTTTATTCGCTCCTCCGAATTTACGCTTGAGTTCTTAAAAATGTGTCATGTTTAAATCGTGTTTTCATCTGCTTAGGTCTCTTGTAAAATAAACGCAGTTTTAGGTGAATCCGCACCTAAAGTTCGAACATTCAGATCTCGAGCACATCTTGCACGATGAACATGTTGATTTTGTGCGATTTCATTAGCCCTCCCGAATTGATGCCGAAGGTTTGGAAAATGTGTCATGTTTAAATCGTGTTTACGTCTGCTTAAGTTTCTTGTCAAACAAACGCAGTTTTAGGCGAACGTGCACCCTAAGTTTGAACTTGCAGATCTCGAGCACATTTGTACGATGAACATGTTGATTTTGAGGTATTTTTTGAGGTAAATCTGCACCAGAAGGAAACAAATGTTGGAGTAATAACTCCATTAACTGATACACTCACGTGCAGATAAATCTGTGACTTTTCTTGGACTCGAGTCAGATATGCAACTAAACCAACGTCGTGACGAAGCGTTGAGTATCACATAAAAATGAAGGAGTTCCAATTCATGATCGTACTATCAAAACCATTATTGGTAAAACCTTTGCTGCACCCATGCGATATTTTTCAATTTGCCATGACAAGACCTTAGCCGCTTACAAATTGCTGGCACTGGAAAAAAAAACACATTGGATCTAGAGACCAGACTCTTAAAAACGTCGACAAGAAAAAATACTCTTGATTCGATCAGATTTAAGCTTAAATCAAGAGCCAAGCCTCTTAATTTGAGCGGATTTCCTTTTGATTTAAGCTTAAATCTGATTGAATCAAGAGTCCATTTTCTTGTCAATGTTTTCAAGAGTCTGGACTCTAGATCCAATGTGTTTTTTTTCCAGTGGGTGATTGCTAATTGACTGCGATCTTTACATAAGATGAATTAAATCGTATGACTGCGATGCTTTGTTGCATTTTATAAAATATATATTTTGGCTGTATATTCAGCGCAAATTAATCAAGTTCTTTCTTGAAGACAAATTAATAAAATTAAGGAGCCTGCCATGAAATGATCAGCAAAATTTTCCGTTGGAATCAAAATCAAGTATTCATCCATACGCATTTGATTTTTTTTCGTGAGTTTAATTCCCCTCTCTAGCATTTTAAGGAGGCACGACTTCTTCAAGGATAAGTTTAATCCTTTTTTCATCTAAATAGGATGTTGTCATTTAACAATAACTACCAATGGAAATTGTTGTTTTACTGCCGTATCACATCTAATCGATCAAAACCAAATAAAAAGAAAACGATTGTCCACCACAAGTTAGTGTCATGTTGGGCAAACTAATTTCTCATTTCTAACAGCGTAGTTGAATTTAAGTTTCGAAAATGCGTCGAACTTAATCCAACCAAAGTGGTGAAAGAATGAGGAGATGATCTCTTTTTAATCGCTCTTAAAGTGCGATACTTCAACCACATTCCGAACCGTAACAGAGATTCGACAGTGGCGTGGCGTGAATTGCGATATATCGATTGATCTGCCATTTAAACCCATGGAAAAGGATCGATAAACAGGGTGTTCGCAGCGAACACCTTAATAATCGATCCTTTACCATGGGTTTAAATGACATAACAATCGATACATCGCAAATCACGCCACGCCACTGAGATTCGAGATTACCCAAATTAATGCCCACTAAAATTTTACGCTACATCCCTAGGATGATCGGCTTATCAGAAGTTTAGATCCGCAGTGTAAGTGAGCTGTGCTTTTAGGGCTCGCCGTAGCGTAAAATTCCGTGGGAACTATCATAATTACGTCCAACTCCGAGACGTAACAAAGATTTATAAGGGCGGGCTAATTAACCCTGAGTCTCTCTTTGCAGTGCGCGGAATCTAATTTTAGGGAGAGAATTTCGGCTGTGAGCGCCGTGCGGGAAATGAGAGCAACATCAAAAGTCCTTCCCCTATGACTTTACCGAAAACCACATGGGAGTGGTAGTTCTAATCCATGCACCCGCGCTCTCGCGTGAGCTACATGCTCAGGGAAGATTGTTTTGTGCCCTGAAACGAAAATGATTTAAAGTTGGAAGAGGGAGGGTGTAGGATTTACGCAGTGGCGTGGTCAACATGTGCACTGTGGAGGCTATGTTTCCTTCCCAAAAAAAGAAGAAGAAAAGAGAGGGAATAATTAATTATGAGTACATCAAGTATGTAGTATGTCAATTCGTAGTTTCCTCCACGAAAGAACGCGAGTACATTTCAGTGTTGCTAAATTTCCCTTGAAAATTGCATTTACCAGGGGAATCTCGGGCATTAGTAACTGAAATTGTCACTGATTTCTCCTCTGATCTCGTGCACAATTTTGGACAAGAATTGCACAGGTATACCTTCTTTTAAAAATATTGAATTGTTTGAGTCAATTTTGCAACCTTAGAATGGAATCCGATCCTTTAGAACTTAAAGCGATGATATTGGTTAGGTCACATCTCAAAAAGTAAAATGGTAGCGGAGATTTTGAGACACCGCAACCGAGATACGCATTTTTGCAGTTTCGCCGTCGACATAATGTTATTCAGGGTTGCCACAGTCAGGGAAAACCGGGAAATGTCAGGGAAAATTTGTCATATCACCTTCATTTGTTTTCTAGAGGTTTCGAGCTACAAATTTTGTCTAAAAACTATTTTCAATTCTGTCTTTTTAACCACCCGTCATATCTTCAATGGACCACTAGACAAGGTACGAATAACAGCATTCTGATACATGTTTCTTAACCAAAAATTCACGTAGAACACGATACGCTTAACGAAAATTACCGAAATCAACTCCTTACGAAGATATTTCATGGTTCTTGATGCGTGAATTCGAACATTTTTTACCGTCCTTCCTTGTAATTTATTGTTGGTTTGAGTTCATATATTTTGTTCAATTTTTTGCCACTTGATCATTTTAATCCTTCGATAAAAATTACCCATTTGCTAAATACGATCCTAACTAGAGTACACTTAAACTATGCGGTCAAAACTACAAAACCAACAAGACCAGAGTGGAAGCTATATCAATATAAATCTTCCATCGCATTGCTAAGGCGCATGATACAACTATTCGTACTCTCCGGAACGCGTGAGGTATCATGCCACGATTGAAGGCGTTTTCGAAACTGCCAAAGTGCTAACTTCCCAGTTCCCATATCGGGATTCTTGCGTTGCATAAAGGGTGTCTACTGATCATGGGTGGCAAATATTAAATACTTTAATCAACAGCACTTTTTCGGTACCTTCCAAAAAAATTCAGAGCTTTTTAGGTGTCTTTTAGTGACGAAATTCGAAAATTGTTGGAATGGACCACTAAACAAGGTACGAATTTCAGCATTCTGATACATGTTTCTCGACCAAAATTTCACGTAGAACACGGTGCGCACAACAAAAATTACTGAAATCAACTCCTTACGAAGATATTTAATGATTCCTAATGCGTGAATTCAAACCACCCGCTCATGAAAACTCAATACTCTACGTGATTCACATCGC